TGTAAAATATAAATTAATTAACTTTTATTATGTTAACAGCTTTTAAGGGTATTTCAGACATTTTGATTTAAAAAGCTGTTTATCAGCACTTATTTGCCAAACACATCAACAACTTTTTTTTAACTTCAGCACTTTTATCCAAACGCATAACTGCTTATTTTAAAAATAAATTTCAACACTTTCAAAAATATTTTTTTAAAGCTACTTTTATTAAGTCCATCCAAACGGGCCCTTACTCGTGTAAAAGGTGTATGATTGAACTTGATTTTTTTTTTATCAAAAAAGGATTTAACAAAAAAAAAGGGGGGTTAAGAAGTTTTTATTCAGAAAATTGAAGAAAATTTTGAATTTTCATAAAAAGTAAACATGTTTGAAATTGATTTTGCTTTATTTGGAAGGAGAATATAAAATTGTTGTAGAGCTCTTTATGAAGCCATTTACAAGTTAATCAACTTGAGGTATTTGCAAGTTATTTGAATTATTAAGGTAGGGTATATTAATGAGAAAATTATATATAATGGTAAATTAATAAATTAAATTAAATGTTATAACTATATTTTGATTTAATTGTTCCCTGCGATAAATTGTTTGTCAGTCACCTTTCTCCCTCAAACTTTCGCTCGCCACTCTCCCTCTCTCGCTCACTCCCTCTTACTTTATACAAACACAAGTGTATAAAATGCGTATATGTTTGTATGAAGCGAGAAAAAATAGTCTATATACATATAAGTTGTTCACCTTTCTCCCCTCTCCCAGATCTCGCTCGCCTTGATTGCTTATACAAACATAAATGAAATGTATAAATTGTGTTTCTGTTTGTAAAAAGCGAGAGAAAATTGTATATATACACTTGCAAATACATATAATTTCGTCCTATATACTTATAACTATACAATACAAATATTCTCGTACCAAATTTTATTTTATCTTTCTCTCTTTCTTGTTTTATGCATACACAAATTATACAATTGATTTGTATACAACTACTTTCTTTTGTATATGTATAGCGAATTATACAATTCGTTTCTTTTTATATGTAAGAGAATTATACATATTTCTGTTTGCTAGGGAGCGCAGTTATGCAAACTTTGCTATAGCATACAAATATAAATTTTTGTGTTTATTATATGTAAAAGTTGCTCATTATTAATTACCTATGAAACTTCGGAGCAAATTTTAATTTTTCGTAATTTATGATTTTCAAAATTACCACTAGGATTTACTATAAACAATTTTATGTGATTAGTTTTTAAGTAATTTAATTAAGTAAAATAATTTTTATGCTACTAGTGCATAAAAAGACAGATCTAACTAGCTGTCATACTTTATAGTTTTCTAATGCTAAAATTGAAAAAATGAGCTAAAAATAATTTATAAGTTTTTTAATTAAAAAAAAGGACAAATTGACTTCTTCTTTTTTAATTTTTAGTATTAATAAAGAATTAAACTAATACCATATTTTGTAGTTGTTTGGACAATTTCTAAAGTTGCTTGTATAATTATTGAAGTTGTCGAACGACTAAAGAAGTTGTCTCGATAGCTACGACAATTGTTGGACAACTAAAGAAGTTATCTCAACAACTACGACAATTGTTAAACTAAAGTGTAAAAGTTAAAAATTTGGCACTATTATAAAAATATCTTTTAACCTAATATGTATTATTTATCACTTCTACTTAATTTTTAAGACATGAAGGACTCCCACCTAATTGACGAACTATTTTACCCTTTTAATAGGCCTTCCCGCAAAAACTTATCTAAACCAAACTTTTTTCCATTTCACAGCTAAATATAGAAATTAAAAGATTCTCCTTTATACAACATAATATTTATTTATTGCGCTAAAGATATTTAGTTTAAATTGAAACTAAAATATTGTACAATTTAAAGTTATCTTAAAGTTTTTAAGAGTCATTTTATAGAAGTGTTAGGTAGTAAATATCATATCATATTGACGGTATATAACAGTGAACATATTATTATTAAATAACTACACAAAATTCTTTATTTATCATACATTTTATTTTATTTTTCCTTCTCTCTCTTTTAAAAACCTCCCTACCAATAGAGGCGAATGTACATTATAATATCAAATTTATTTTCATTTAATATTTAAAATATCATGTATAAATTTATATTTATAATCTTATTTAAATTATAATAATTAATATGTTTTTAACTCATACTTTTTAAAATGTTAATAAATTCAATATTAAACCCTATAAAATTCTTGATCTAACACTGCTTATCAATTACAATCACATAATATTTAACAATGGTATTAGATTTTGACACTTTACAATTTTTTCTTTCAACAGCTCGAGATGATCTATCAAATATTTGTTTTAAAAATAAGAAGTTTGTATTAGCTAAGCTGGTAGGTTTTAAAAATATAAAAGTTTGTACTAGCGGTCAGAATTGCAACTATGTTAGGTAAAATTGAAATTTAAAGATGATGAAAATCGTGGAGAGTAAAAGATCATTTTGTTCATATCATATAGTTTAGAAGCGATTTATGCAAGAATCAATTTATTTTTACTAATTATATGAAAAAATAAATCAATATATATATTTATCCATCCAAACTATACTTATCTGAAATAAGATAATTTGTGAACCATAAACTCTCAAGTTGATAAATTTCAAGAAAATATCATCTAAAGATTATGAGGTTTCATTTCATTCAACGGTAAGATTAAAGTTTTTTTATTTGGTGTTTGATATTTATGTTGGGACTAGTTATATTTAAATTTACACGAAAAACAACCAGGTTCCATTTGCCAATTATTGCTATTGACTTCCACAGTGAAAGAATTTCTTGCAAACTTATTTCTATTAAATTTTTTACTTTTAATTTTGAAAGAAATTATTTAAATTACATTATAATAGTGGAAAAGTCAAAATTACTTGTTCTTATTGCCAAAAATTGGCCATATAGATTACCATAATTTCTGCAAGTAGCCTTGCTTGTTGTTATCCATTTAATTTATAATACACCCTATTTATTTGGTAATTCATAATACACCCTATTTATTTGGTAATTCATAATACACCCTATTTATCGAATACAACAAACCAAACCAAGGATAAAAAATATTGTCAGCATAACTAATCTAAACATTACTAATCCAACTTATTTAGTGCTACTCTTATACCTCTTACCAAACAACCTATTAGTCTCAAGTGCATTTATAAGCAACCCTCGCGCTGAGTTGATGGGATGGAGGGGAACTATACATAAGCGGATTTACTTTGAAAATTATGGTGCACCTGAAATTATTCCTCAACAAAACTTGATATTTTATGTACATATTTTCTAAAATTGATCTAATATTTATCCATTGACACTCATACCACGCGCAAAAGAAGAAGAAGCTAAATGGAGCATTTGATGTGGGTGGAGGCAGACAAAGGCAAAAACATGGTTAAAGCACTCAAGAGGGGAATAATGCGATGGCTTGTAATTCATCATGGACACAATGATGACTGAGCTAGAAGTCAATTCACAATGAAAAGAGAGCCAACAATTCCCCAACTTATCACTTGTTACATAAAAATGGGCATAGGATACCCCAGTAACTTTATCTAACAATCCATGTTTTCAAGATTAGTAATGATTACCAATTATATGCTACCTATAATCTCCCCCTATATTGGAAATCATTTTCCCACTAATAACTTCACCTTCTGCTGCATCCATCCATCTTCAACATTCCAATGCTAAAGATGAAGAGAACAGAACTCCTACTCTACATTCTTCTCATATCGACAATATGTGCAGAATGTCGACATGGGTATAACTTCATTCCCATGGCTCAACCTATAAACGCAGGCAAGTGTACAACTCTTCACTGCTAATGAAACACTAATAAATCAATGTGATGCACTATTTTTCATCTTTTTCCTGATGTGGTAGCTGAAACAAGTCGTGTTTTTTCTATTTTCCTGAACTCTGGGATTTCCTATACAAAACAAATATGTGATTTTAGTAGGCAAGGATATCAATGGGTTTAAACTCTAGCTTCTCTATCGCAGTTAAGTCCAATAAAAGCTCGGTATTCTACACATTGAGATCAACAAGAGGACACATTCTTGCTAATTTGGTAAGTCTTACAAGTATGGAATCTCTATTATGAACTAGTTTATCCATGGAGTTTCTAATCAAACTATTGTGGAGCAGGGGAAGTACGAAAAGATTCATAAACCACCATCTGGACCGAATCCAAATGGAAATCATCGTCCACCATCAAGGGCCAAACCCAACTGGAAATCATCGTCCACCATCAGGCCATGAACAGAAGAACGAGCTAGTCATATGAGACCACAATTACCGAATTGGAGGTTAGACATATATGTAGTAGTTAGACAATTTTATATTTAGGCTATTTGTAAAAACAGTGGAATATCCTTTCAGATTGGAATTACATTTCCTTCATTTACTAAGCAGTCTACAAAACTGGTCTTTATCTAATCTATAGTCCTTATACTTCACGCCTAATATGATTTACTGCAAGCAATGTTGTCAATTTAGGACTATCAATATCTAGTTCTTAATAAGTAAAAATTCCACAGACCATTCTCAAATCTCAACAAGATCAAGACAATTTTGAGTAACGCTGAAAGTGAAACCAAAACTCATTTACTGAAGGCCAACTTACGTCTGAGCTCCTAGGAAACCAAGCTTAATCTTGTAGGTCACAAGAGAATGATTACATGCTAGAGCATCAGGAATTGAGAGATAGGGACTGGGATTATTGTAATGACTAATGAAACAAAATAGAGAAAACCTTGGGCCAGATGCTTAAAATTCGATGCTGCCACCACCTTACTGCAAACTTTGATACATCCTCTCATCAGAACACACTATTTCCCACTCAAGTCGTGGTTAATATTCGTATAATAATTGGAACATCAAAGACCACATGCTACACATTAAAAAATATGGAAAAACTTAGCTTTCCTAGCTAAGCTTGCCATAAAACTTAAAAGAGCCTGAGTACATTTTAAGCAATATGCCAACTCAGCAGGCTTTCTTCATTTAGCGAATAGTCCTCAAATGTATTACCGGCATAAAAAGAGGGGCACTAGACAGAGCCTAAGATACATGTGTCATATATACAAAGTTAAATTGCCAACTAAAGTGCGTAGTCTCTCTTCTGCTTTAGTTTAAGCATGCAGTCTCTTATCAAACTGTTGTGAAGCAGGGAATATACAAGAAGGATCCATATACCACTACTGAGCCAAAGCCAACTAGAAATTGTCGCCTGCCATCAAGACCATGACCAGAAGAACGAGCTAGCCATATGAAATCATGATATTTGCTGAGAGTTGGAGGTTAGACATATATGTAATAGCTAGAAGATCTAAGATTTAGGTTATTTTGCTTGTACAAACACTGGGATATCTTTGAGATTGGAACTTTATTATCCTTCACCAACTAAATTGTCAGAAGAGTAATGTTGTCTAGTCTAAAGTCCTTGTTGCTCCACTTCTAATGCGCTCACTGCAAACAATACTTTCAAAATATTTTATAACTATCAAAATTTTAGTTCTCTAAAAACTTTGAAAGTATTAATTCTACTTGACATTTTCAAGGTATTAACAAAATGAAAGAGTTTTGCATAGCTGATGCTTTCCCTACTCTTCTCCACTTAAAATACTAAACTTTAGTCGGCAGCCAGATTCGAAGCCGTGATGCGCACCTAGCCCATACATCATTTGCTGCATTCTTATCCTTAGACAAAATCCCAGGGGACCAGACTGAAATTCATTTGTCAAGATGAACTCTAACCCAGGATACTAAAAAAAGCAAACTAATCTTGTAAGGAAAGAAAACCACTTCAACGGTAGGCATCATTGATGCAGAGGAAAGTAGGCAACTAATGAGTAAAATAGAGGAAAGCTTTGGCCCACAAGTTAGACATGAAAGCAATATGATAAATTTAGCTTTTGCTTGCTAAGCTGGTGCTTAAACTTGAAAGCTCGTGAAATCACTTTTGCATACTTATCAGGTTCTCGTCATTTGGCAGATAGCCATTAAATAGATGACCGGCATGAAAATGGCCACTATACACTAACTAAAATACAGATTTGAATATACAAGCTAAAGGATTGATTTACCACTTTATACAGCACGCTTCCTTTTTGATCTCTTACTCTTCCTTGGCCCTGAGTAATTTGGAACTTCTTTACTACTGCTAGAAGCATAAGCCTCTTCCAGTACTTCTTCATCCTGCAACCAATATTTATCAAGTGTATAAGCTCATATTCAGAACAGTGTCTTCCAATTGAAAATTTAAAAGTCTGCCATGCAGCACCAAATAAAACAACTCATCTTGGAGGTACTAAGAAATTATTCTTTCCCTCCTCATCAAACTGAATCAATTAACATTCTGAAATGTTCCAGAGCTACTTAGGTATCCATGAGCTTAGAATTATGTATGCATTTATCTCTAGTCACTGAGTGAAGCCCTTCAAACTTTCAGCTTGATCGCATAACCAATCACTATGTGTTTTTGCTCAAGATTATTGATTCAAAATTGAATTTTCAATTTTCAGTATTTACAAAATTAATTTTCAAATTATTCAGAACACTAGAGACAGATTTTTTTTGTTCCTCTTTGAAGGGTAGTGTTTCTTTTCACTGTCACACAAATGTTCTCTTCTAAGGCTGGCCTAATGGGTCAAACAATAGCATAGTTGTGCATCTAGGTACTATGACCAACCCTAGGTGAACAAATCCACATCTTTATTACATGGAAGTCTGACTTGCATTTTAAGTTAAAAAAGGAAGAATAGTACTTTCAGACAGAGAACTTGTGTAATGCAATAAATCACTATGCCTTGTTAGGCTGGAAGCCATCCACATCTTTTATTATCCTTGACATGCCATCCGATATTCAACTGACTAACAACTAAATTTAATCATGCAAACATGTCTCGGGTGAACTTGTCAGCAGAGATCATATGCAAAACAACATTTGACATTTACCTTGGGCTTGGTGTCATCATCTTGTTCGTCCTCGGAATCAGATATAGAAGCAGAAAGTTCAACCTTATCTGTAGGGAGTGCCTTGGTTGACTTTTTCTTCTTTTCATCTTCCTTTAGCTGCCTGAATCTATTTCCATAAACTTTTGTTAGCTAGGTAGACATTGTAAATTGATCAATTTTGAAATATTATACACACCTCTCTCCAGATTGTTCAGGTTGAGAGGTAGTTCTCTTCGCACGTCCAGCACTGATGATACCACCGGCATCTCCACTCACAGCAGGCTTTGCACCACCTAACTTGCGCAACCATACCTGCTGTGCTGTGGTCAGCACATTATTTGTGAACCTTGAAATTCAACATAAAAGGCACATGTTAAGAAAGTCAACTTGCTTCATTGATTATAATATCCAGAACAAAAATCTACTTTTGAGTTAAAGAGATAAAATGCAGAAGCATGATAATTTGTCATTTGTTGCCTCAATGATGAGAGAGAGAGCTTAAAAGAAAAACAAATAGAAGAGATATGGAGCAATTATTTTGACATGTCTCTTGAACAGAAAGTTTGAAAGCGCTAAGACAGTATAAGGATATCTCTGTGTATAAAGGCAGCAACAAAACTTCTTTATCCCCTCATCTTATTCAGTGATAATGTCACTAGAAACAAGTGAATAGCAAATTCCAGTTTACTGAACTGCAGAGTAATATAGTTTTCATTAATAAAAATGATAATTCAGTAATTCACATCAGTATATTCATCGGAACATATTTGTTTAAGACCAATACTCTAATTCTGTATCAGAGGCACTATTACATTATTACTTTAAGTAAGCGCTCACCAGTAAATTGTTAACCCTGATGGAACAGACAAAGAGAAATAGCCAATCATGAGCGGAAGGAACTTGAAAACCAGAAGTGTGTTCTTTTGAGACGGATCATCTGTCTAAGAAAAGATATCAAGGATTTCAATATAACACGACAGAAGCACCCACAAATTGAGATCAGAAGGAAATAAGCTGGAATTTTAATTCAGAATCATACTTGGGGAGGTTTCATTATCTCCATTGAAACATATTGTGAAACAATAAGCAGGACAGGCAAAATGAGGTAAGCCACCGTGTCATGCCAACCCAAAGGCGGATGCCCATCCTGAAAATGTCAACAGATTTCATGTCCGCAATCATACTAAACTGTACTTAGTATTACAAGCAGAATTATCTTATGGTCCCAAGAATTTATAGGAAAACCAATTTGGTGAGATGAAAGCGGGAATCGTTCCATCCTCTTTGTGATTAGGAAAATTACTCAAAATAAAGTTTCAGACATGGTATAAAGGTGTAATTAGGATATGACACTGACCACAAATGGGAATAGCCAAGAAACTCCAGATCCACTCTGTCGAGCAGCTATAGTTGTCGGGCCTCCCAAAGAAGGGATCCAAAAAAAACCTTCAGTCAGCAATCCCTTTATCAGAATGAAAAAAAGGTAAATAAACTCATTAGTTGTTTGAATTAATAAGTAAGAACACACAATAATACTAACTTCTACAGTACCTCATTTGCCACATTGGAGAGAGCTTGATAAAGACCAATCCAAACAGGTATAGTAGCCAAAGTTGGGAAACATCCTGGAATAGTGTAGCCACAAAAAAGAAAAAGATAAACCACAATGGAAATGCAAGGACTTACTACATTCATTACATGGAAGCCAAACTTGAGATGGGACAAATCCAAACCTTACAGAAGCTCACAGCACTCATTATTTTATGGCATGGTGTCTAAATAGTTATTTATGGCATGGTCTCTTAATAACTGGCATTGAAAATTGCAGTTAGTTGATATGCTACAATTAGCACATGTCAAACAATTTGTAGTTTTTCTATTGCAGTGGGCTCATTAACCTCGTGGAGGTACAACCTGTCCATTAATAATGCAGTTAAGCTTCAAGTCAATGCATATTTAACAGCATACCTTAGCTCTACTAACTCTCTGTCACAACTAAAAAGGCATAGTAATTGAGTGTATATTTCAAACCATCATGTGTTTTAGAATAGTAGTGTTCGCATAATACTTAAATCCTTGGGCATAAAGTTGATTTTTTTAATGCCGTTTATAACCACCTCAATGCAGCTATTCGCCAGACAGCTCATAGGATACTGCACCTGAAAACATACTGCATGTTTCTAAGTAGTTGGGAGCCCTTACTTCTTACAAGCCAAACCCTTTTTTCTTTTACAACGCATAGCCTCAAAGGACTATCGCTAGGATACATACGAAAGAAGAGGTTGACTAACTTAAAGCTATTGTTTATCATTTGAATTAAAACAGGAGAACAAATACATTAAAAAGCAAATTTAAGTTCATAGAGCAGTGTTCTCTGGCATTGAGAAACTAGTTTGGTGTTCATGATCATCTATGGTTTTCCAACCATTGTGTAAACTAAGTCAAAAGTTGCACTTATGTGGTAGTATTTGACTTGGCACAGAGTTTAAGAAAGGAAGACTTTTGAAATTTGTGGTCTAAGACAAACCTTAAGACATTTATGTGGCTATATATCGTTTTCATTAAGAGTGCAAAGGAAGTTTTCCAGTTAAGTTGTTTCTAATTATAGAAAGGTGACATTCTTTTGGGAAAAACTTAAAAGGAAAGGGTGCCATATAAATTGAGACGGAGGGAGTAAATGTTTAGATGAAGACGCATTACTGGAGTTCCTCAGTTCCATACATTCATAAACGACAACCGAGCTTTTGTACACTGTATATATTGTGCTGCTTCGACGGAATAAATTATCAGACTTACACACCAAAAAACAAGGCAAAAGGGAGTTGATAAAATGAAAGTTATGAATGAGGAACTAACTTAATGACAACTTCATATGCCACAGACAACCAGAGATTGACAAGGAATAAAACTGAAATCCAGATCAAACAAATTATGGAAGGAAGAATATCACCAGGCAACCAGTTCTAAGATGTACTCAAATAAGACTAAAAATGCAAAACCTAGACCACAGAAGGACAAACTATGGATCAACATATAACTAATTCTTTAACTGATAAATGGCTCTTACAACTCCAGGAGATATAATTTGTGCTTCACTACTAGCTAGGAAAGAAAGCCATGGCAAGTTTCTTATAACATATATGCCCAATGCTTTAAACCAAGTAAGTAGATCAAACAGAAATAGCAAATGGAAGCATAACTAGAGAAGAGACCGCTGACTGCAACAATGAAAACTTACCTGCAAGAGGATTGACCCCTGCCTGCTTATATAAACGTGAAGTCTCAAGTTGGATTCTCTCCTGAATGAAAGATAAGATAAAAAATGTAAGTTTGTTTTCTAAACACCTCACGGAAAAGGACACAACAACAATCAAAATTCTGTTAGTATAGCTTCACAACATTAGAAACACCTTTCCTTTTATTGAACAAGTTTTTTTATCACCATAAGCAATGTCCTTTTCTCTTTTGATAAGAGAAGTAATACTATGGCCACACAAAGTAAAAAAACTCTGAAGTACCCATATTAAGCTGAAATCTAACAAGCAAGTTGTAACAGTTACAGTATCAATCTGCTCATACTTCACTCTTTTTTACAGCACTAAGTACCAAAGAATACACATACATAGGTCAAATTTGGAAAGTCATATAGTTCTGAAAAGAAGTTAAGATGAAATAGAAAGTATCAATCAACATGAATTTGAGTGCACCTGATTTCCAGCATATCTTTGTTGAATAGCTTTGATCTTTGGTTGGAGATTTTGCATTGCTAAAGTTGATTCAACCTTTCAAATGACATAATGTCATACATCAGCAATAACTCCATTGCAGTGATTTAACAATTAATGAGGAAGAAAGGAACAGGGACTCCTGTTGACTTGAGTTTGACAAAACAATCAGTTATATTAATTTAAGTTCTCATCCCATTGCACTATTAATAATACCAGATAGACTTAACTAAGTGCCAAGACCTGAAATACCAGACCAACTCTAAAACATCCAGGCCTAGCAGCAGCTTTATCACAGACTCACCTGTTGCTTTGTCAAAGGGAAAGTGGCAGCTTTAACCAGGAGAGTAAGCAATATGATTGCGAATCCATAGGAATAAGGCACATGCACAGCTTGCAGTCCATCCTTCATCACCTGAAAAGACCGAAGTGAATGAGTGAATATAGAGTACATGAGGCGTAATAGTATCAGTATTGCAAAAAGAAGGTCTTTTAAAACTAAAACCAAAAAATAATGCATCTAGAACTGAAACAAAATAAGCTTCAGTACTTGTACTTCTCCATGTGATCTATTGAAGATAACCAACCTGTCGTCCTATGATAATCTTGATAAGGTTTCTTCAGCATCCACTAATTTCCTTTTTCTTTATTGGGAGGAAAGACAGAAGGGGAGGAGGATAGTGGATGGTATGATAAGGGGGAAATCTGGTTGTCGACTTATACTAATATGAAAGATGACAAAAGTTAATAGATAAGTCTTTCAATAGGTAGAAAAAAAATTCAAAAAAAAAGTTTAGTTTACTTCAAGTGTTACCAAAGGTGAAAAGCAAAAATACATTTAAAAGAAACATACCCTCAAGTTTGTTAGAACTTTAACTGCAACGCATAAATAAAGTGTAGACTTTAATGAATAAAGGCGCAAATGAGGAGAAAAATAGAACACCTGTATAAGGCAAGAGTAATAACTGTAAACACAAACAACAACTATCCGGATAAAGTGTTCATAAAAGTTTAGTAGCTAGACAAAATCTTAGTAGGAAACATGATGTCAAACAATACTAGGTCCCTATACTTCTTCGGCCTGCCTCTATCTCTCCTAATGCCTGCTATTGCCAACCGCTCACACCTTCTCACTAGGACATCTACGTCTTCCCTCAAGTATTTCACCTCTCCTAACTTCTCATTCCTAATATGAAACTTAAAAGGTTATATAAACATGAAATAACGACACAAGGAAGCAAGTGAAATCATTATTATGAATATGCCCAACTTATATAAAATCCAAAAGACCGTAACAATGATCATAATTAGTTCAAAAGTATGTGTTACAAAATTTAACCTTCAACACAACTTCCATGGCGTCAGAAATGAAAGCAAACCAACCACCACTTTTCTGAGCAGTACCGGCAGCAGTAACATCGGGAGCAACACCAGGATCAGCCGCGACGGCAGCATCAGCTAACGTGTAGAGAAGTCCCTCCGCTCGGCTTACAACAGCTTCAAAATCAAAATTAGAGTGAAGCGAGTGAATCGGAGGAAGGTCATGGAAGCTGAATTTCACTCTAGTAGAGATAAGTCTTCGCCGGTGAAATACATGGCGAGAAAGCGACGGCAAAGGAGTTCCGATGAACGATGATGGAGATGAAATTAAGGTTTTCGCCATGGGAAAAATTGCTCCGGCGGGGATGAACGGAGAAAAATGGGAAGAGTTCAATTCAGCTTCTCATGGAAGAGAGGGAAATTTGTGGATTGGATGAGTGGCAGGAGAGCTATTAGAAGAGAAAAAATATCCCTATCCATTTTTTTCTTATTAAAATTCCGTTATTTTGTTTGGTATTTCGTTGTGGTTACTCCACAACTACTAATTTTTCTTTTTTTTAAAAAAAATGTATTTATTATTATAAGGGAAAAGGAATATGCCCCTAAACTATTTAAAAATATTTAGATATATCCTCCGTTTAAAGTTTGGTTCACTCCTGCCTTTGCCATCCAACTTTTGGTCCAAATATGTTTTATGGGCGTTAGTTGTTATGTTGGACATATCCAACTTATTTTTCATTTCTTTTAAATGTCACATGTAATTGACATGTCATTTTGACCTTACCACATGATATTTATATAAAATGAAAAGGTATTCGGACTCATAAACACCTAATTCAACCCATAAATCAACCACCTTTTAAATAAATTATCCGACCAATTTTAACAATTTTGTTTAATTTTTATTTTTTCGATAAATTCTAAAAATGAGTAATTGATTAATTAAAAAATAGGAAGAATATGAAAAAAATATATAATTAACGCCAAAAATTCACAAATAATTATAGTAACCTTAAATCAACTTAAACACTTTTTTAAATTTTTTTATTTTTTTGATAAATCCTGAAATGAGCAATTGATTAATAAAAAATATGAAAAAAATATAAAATTAACGCCAAAAATTAAAAAATAAATACAGTAACCTTAAATTAAATAATTTCAATATTTTTTTATTTTTAAAATTTTTCGGCAAATCCCAAAAATGAGTTATTAACAAAAAATAAGAAGAAGAAAAACTACGCAAAAAATTCACAAATAAAGAATAGGAAAATAT